AAAAAAAAAAAAAAAAGGAAAAGGAAAAAGAAAGAATGAGTAGGAAAGAAATAAAGAGAGAAGACGAGAGTTTCTAAACGTCGATTTTCTAAACTAAAGAAAGAAACCGACTAAGGTGTTCCAAGGAGGAATCCGATCGTTTCTTTGCAACTCACGATCGGCCGCTAGCCGACCTAACCATTCGTGCGTCGAAAGCGAGAAGAACAGGAGGAAAAGGCACGGGAGAGGGTCGTTTCTTCGACCGTTTACCCGACCTTGACCATTTTTATTTCCCTAACCGGACGTTTTCACGAAAATACTTGAATGAAGAAGAGAGAGGCGTCCCCTGCTGATTATAATAAAAACTCTCCAGCCTCTCGGAGATGCCATTCGTACAGAATGAGAATCGTTCGGCCGTTAGCCGTTAATCGAACAGGTGCAACGTGCTGAAAATTATGTAGCCTGAGAGTTTATTCGCCTCGAGCCTATTCGTCGATGGAATGTTTCAAAATTCAATTATAAAATTTAAATGTACCAAATTATTAAGGGAATTATAGAGAAGGTCCATTATTTTAAATATATATATATGTATATATTCTAACGCTTAGAGAAGGAAAAACATTCACGTACCATCACGCATTTTTTTCACCCTCTTGTTCATCTCCCTCAAAAACTTGAAGCTTCGCGATACCATTAGTAATTGTTGCCCATTATCGAGACACACGTAGCTTCGTAATCCTGTGGATCGCATCGTGGTGGTTTACACGTGGGAAAAACTCGGAACACGTGGCACTTTTTGTTTCTATGTATTACCAACACAACACCCCTCGGGAAAGATCGACCTCGAGGAAGAAACTAAGAAAAAAAAAAAAAAAGAGAGAACTAAACAGACGGAACGTGCACTTCAGAGAGAGAGAAAGAAAGACACGCGTGATATCGCGTTCAACACATTCGAGATAACGCTTAGAACGCGGAAAAATTCTTGAAATCTAGGCTAGGCATCCTCCGAACCTAGACAGATCCGAGAAAGCGCGGCAACATCGGAAAAGAAACGTTACGACCGACGAGCGTGGGTGCAACTGAGGGTCATTCAGTTCGTCGTGGGAAATGCTCGATTTGTCGGGCTTTTCCACTGGGGGAGGGGGAGAGGAGGACCAGGAAGGTAGCGGTCTCCCCACCACAGTCGAGTGCAAGGCCCAACTAATCGGTGTCTAGGAGGGGATAGGGAATTGTCGACAAAATGGAGTTCGTTTCCGGACGGTTTCGCCGCCGCGTTACGTGAGGCCCATGGAACCGAGCACGTGCTCGAAACATTGCTTTCCTCTGCCCTCTCCTCTCGCTCTCTCACGCTATCTCTCGCCTCCTCGTTCGTTTCTCGTTTCTCAGCGACGCCGTTTCGCCCCTTTTGTTTTCTCCCTGTTGGAAGGAAGGAACGCCAGTTTTCCAATGAAGAAGAAGCTGGATCCGTCGTCTTTGCCTTCTCTCTCGCATTTTCCTTCCTACACAAGCCTGATTCATAAATCACGCGCTGGGTCTTATCTCTTCTTTTTTCCTCTCCCCCCCCTCCCCCGCTTATTCCTTGCGCCTTCTGTCCAGGACACGAGATACCGCCAAAAATATCCCGCTGCGTTCCTGCAGGATTAAGCGTCACCGATTATTCACCCGCTGGCGTATCTTCGTCTCCTTCACTAGCGCTCCTCGTCCATTTCGTCGATCGTTCTTTCTTCGACAGAATAGTTCATTGTTGGCGATGTTCGACACGTTTGAAAAGATGCTGCGCACCTTCCTCCCTTGGCGCGGTTTCTTCTCTCACCGACCACGTGGTCACGCTCACATTTGGCGCCAATGTTTCGTGGACGGTTCTAGAAATTTCGTGACTTTTTTTCCTAGAAATTTCCGCCGTTCTAGAAATGGGGGGACGTTCTTTCCCAGAAATTTCCTGCGGATTTTGCATTGAGTTTTTGGATGCTGTTTCCTTAATTCGACGAGAGAATAACAAAGGATCGAAGGTAGGCAGATTTGATATTTAGATTATGTTTACTGAAAGAGAAAGAAAGAGAGAGAGAGAGAGAGAAGTCCCAAACGCGATGATGGAAAATTTTGAAACTACGAGTATTAGTTGAGCAAATATAAATATTTAGATGTCTCAATTTTGAGAAAGTATTTTCTATTTAATTAATTCTCGTTGTTAACCGCATTTAATAGAAAAGGGAGAGGAACGTATAAACTACGGATTTAAAAGTGCAAAAAAAATCTATGGATTGATGATGAATATGAGTTGACTGAATTAATCATTGCAGCGTATTTGAAACCAACTTATTGCAATTCCTTATGGATTACTAGTACAAGATTCCCGTATATAGTTTGTCGTTCCAATTTCGTGCTGTGGACGTTCTTGAAACATTAAAAATCCATTCGCCAGAGATCGTCACGTAAAATATTCAAGAATCTCAGCGATGTTCAAGATGATCGAAATTAACCAAGGCACAAGACACAAAGCCCTCGAATTCATTTATCAACGCGCAATTCGAGCAACTATCTCCTGGTAATTGAATTGCTTGGCATGTTGTGTGTTCGTGATGGATAACTGGAAAACGCGCTCGCGATCGATATATATACTCGTAGTTACTTTTCCTTTGCCGGTTCCGTAAAGACGAACCTACTTACTACTGGTGACGGATCGATCTTGGGTATCGATCGTATCGGCCCGATAATGAGACACCCTCTGGTAACAGGGGCACGGTTTCATAGAATCGACACTGAGATGCACCGCATGAAAACCACTTTCACGGAACAACAACTATTCGAACCTCTTTTGCTTTACAGGAACAAATGGCTTCGTTGCATTCTTATTAACAGCAAGAGAGAGAATGTGTAACTAGAAGCATCATTGTTACCGAAGCCATCGTTCTATATCGTTCTTCCAAAGAAAGAAACAGACACATTCTTCTCATCTTGGCCCGTTTTTACCGAACATTTCCAATTATGGAACTTCGTTAACATTTCGTTTACTATCTGTACGAAATCTATACGTATTTCGTCTATGATGTAAAATATTGAAGTAAAACGATTGTTTTATTAGATGGAACGCCTCTTTATGTAAGACTCTATGCGAGTAATTAACTGAACGTTGTTTCTTTTTCGAACGCAACGACGCTGCATTTTTCTTATTCGCTCCGAACGAAGGAAAAAGGCGAACGGTAGGGGGATTTCTATTTCCCTATCCGTTAAGCTTCCACACGTATTTCCGTTCTACGTACGGGTCGAGGGAAAAATCGGGGAAACCTGGTTGACGCAACTGGCATCGGTCCTCTTTCCTCGATCCATCGAAAGAGAAACAGAAAAAAAAAAAAGAGGAGAGACCTTCGTGTCCCCTCTCGACATTTTCCCGCTCGAGAAAGCTGGCTGGCTGGCTCCAAAAATACGTGAACACGCGTGTCGCGTGCCTATCCGAGTCCTGGATCTTCCTTCCTCGAGCTACCGACCCTATTTCCCGTTCGTGTGAATTCCCCCTTGGCACACTTCGATCGGCCCACGGAAAAACACCGATGCCGGCACGTGTTACGGCCAACATGTTCCATCTAGTTCCGCCTAGATCGTCCTATCCTAAAAATAGGACAGTCAGTGTGTGACACACTCGTCCGGCATCATGCACCATCGGGGGATGCGCTTCTCCCTCGACAGTTGCATCCTTCCGACGTTGCATCGCCCGATGGCGCGCGTGACACGTGCGCGTGTTTCGAACGTGACTATTTTCTTAACCCTCCAACCGCGGGCAACGCTTACAGCGCGTCTCACTTAGCCTATACAATTCCGCGGTATACGCTTATAATTTTTAGGATTATTTAAGCACCGGGAGGCGCTATT